ATACTGTAAAACATAGGGTGCATTATTACAGTTGTAATATTTCTTGAGCATAGAAGAAGCCACGTGTCAGATTTATATATCTTCTTTTTTATACTATAGAAGGGTTGAGCAGCTTCGGAGGGAAAATTTTCATTCTAGTGCTGACATGTGTCGAAAATATTTGTTGCTTTAAGTAACTACACTAGATTTGAAAGGGTGTAATATTCAATCACTTGTCTCTTTCTCTCTTTTTTTTTTCTTTCGAATCTTTATTTTTACCTCTCAATCTCAAATCTATCGGAGGTTATCATCTTTCATTGCTTATCTTCATCTTCATTTTCTTGAATTTTTCCTTCTCAAATTTAGTTGGTTTTTTTCCTTTTTTTTAAAATTATTCTTTTTTTTTCTGGTAATACATAAACTCGATTTATTTTATTTTTCACCGGCTTGTCGCTTTTTTTTTCAGAATCAGCTACTATATGTTTCTTCCATTGAAATAAGAAGTGACACATTTTAGTGATATCATTTTTTTCTTACAATATAAAAGTATAATTTTTTTACTATTGATAAATTTGTTAACGTATTTATAGATAGTGTATTAGACAGCAATGTAATTTACTATTTTAATTATAAAAAATTACTTTTTTACATATAACATACATTACGTAATTTAATTTTACATAGCGTACGCGTGAAGCGCGTCTAATCCATCTAGTCTCCAATAATATCTTCATGGCCTGATTCTTCTAAATCCAACAACCCAACCGAATAGTCAAAGGTTTGATTTAATTTTCTTTACTTGACTTGGTCTTCAAAACAAATCTTCTGCATCTTCTTCTCAACTTAATTTTCCTTAGCTTCCAATTCCGTAAATCAAGCCGTAAAAATGTTAAAACAATCCATCTTTCACTACTTCACTTCCTAGCACAAAATAATGATAAAGTCCATTAATAATCTCCAAAATATGACCAAACTAGGCATCAAAACTTAGAATAAAATGAATTTTATTATAACTATCAATGAGTAAATCGCTTCTTCTGAACAATTGATCTAACCATCGGCCCCTGCGTGGGCTTTAAAACAATTTATATATTTTGATTTTGTTGGCCATCGTGTATTTTGCTGGGAATATTTGTTTACATTTCTCGATGATTTTTCTTTTTGAATAAAGCTGCTCTTTCTTTTGCTAACTCCTTGGCTATCTGTCGATCAGTTGCATTTAGTTGCTCCCATGTCGGTGCATGATATTTCTTTAAGAAAACAAAATTGATTGTCTTAGTATGAACTTCTCCTGTTAAAGACTTGAGCCTGTAGACACCTTTGCCTAAACTCTGATTTATGATAAATGGACCTTCCCATGTATGTGACCATTTACCCAAATTGTAATGTTTCTGTCCAATCGGCAAGATTGCTTTCCAAACTTTGTCACCAAGTTCAAACACCTTCTGCCTTGTATTCTTTTGATACTGTTTGAACACTTTTTCCTTTTGCAACTAAATCTGTTGGACAACATGTTTCCTTGTGTCCATTACCTTTTCATATTGTTCATGCATCGTCAACCAATATTCTTCTGAATCGATAGGAAACTGTTCAGATCCTCTCACCGATTTAACCAAACTGTTCAACCGGTAACACCGCATCTTGCCCATAAACCAACTCATAAGGAGTGGTCGATGTTCCTCGACGCTTAGTTGTCCGATAAGCCCATTAGGCCTGAGGAACCAATTGATGCCAACCCCTTGGGTTTTCGTCAATAGATTTCTGTACAATTCCTTTAAGAATTTTATTCGATGCTTCAGCTTATCCATTACCTTGTGCGAAATACGGAGAAGAATGTGTAAAAGCAAAACCAATCTCCTTAGCAAATTCCTCCATGTCCTTTCCAACAAAGTATTGAGCGTGATCAGTAACTATAGTTTCTGGGATTCCAAATCTGTAAATGATATGCTCTTTTACAAACTTAATTATAGTTCTCTGATAGGCCTCCCTTATAGGAATTGCTTCTACCCATTTAGTGAAGTAATCAGTAGCCACTATAACATACTTATGACCTTCACTTGAAGGAGGATAAATCATCTGAATCAAATCCATTGCCCAACCCCTGAATGGCCATGGTTTTACTATAATTTGCATCGGTTCAGGGTGCATTTTCTGAATGTACCCATCCTTCTAACACTCCTTACACCCTTGAGCAAATTCTATACAGTCTTTAGTTATACTTGACCAAAAATACCCGTACCTTCGAATTAGCTAAGACATCTTCCTTCTACCTTGATGAGCACCACAAATTCCTTCATGCACTTCCAACATAATTAAAAATGCTTCCGGTTTGCTAACACACTTCAACAACACTTTGTCCTCTGTTTTCTTGTACAACAACCTGTCAATATGCAAATAATTGACCGACTGCGTTTGGAGCTTCGAACCAACCTTTCTTTCTGGAAAGACCAAACACTCGATCAACGGCATCCTCTAACACCTCTCTGTGCCTACATTATTCACAACTGCCACGGAATCTTCATATGCTGGTCAATCCAAATCTACAACAAAGAAACACATTGATTAATCCTCTATCGGCCGATAATCAGAAGCAGCCTATGCCATACAATTAGTATCTTAATTACATTCCCTTGGTCGATACTCATATTCAATATAATCAAAATGTCTCTGAGTCTTTCCACAACTTCCCAATATATAAACAACACATCATCATTACAACGAGATTTGTTCGAAGCTTGCTGAATAATCAACCAAGAATCACCAATCACTTTTGCACGCTTCTCTTTACTAAACAACAAGGTCTCTAAACCACACACAATGCCTTATACTACACCTGATTATTAGTACACTTAAACCCCAATATGACATGTACCTTCATAGCTAAATCGTTTGGCGAACACATCACAATCCCAACTCCACTTTTCATAAATGTAGTAGACCCATCAAAATACAATTCCCATGGTCTTTCTTTCAGAGCCATAATTTCATAGTATTCTACCTCTTTCTCAGACCAATCATGGTCTAATGATGGGTACTCTGCCAAAAAGTCCGCCAACGTCTTTCCTTTAACCACTGACTGCGGCACATGCTGAAACTGATACTCCATCATTGCTAATGCCCATTTTCCTAAACGGCCATTCATAGTCGGCCGCTACAACATGTACCTAACCAGATTTACCTTACTAATCACAAACACTATGACTGGTAGTATGTAATGCCTCAACTTTACAGCAGCATAATACGAAGCTAAACACAACTTTTCTATCGGTGGATACCATCTCTCAACATCATTCAACAACCGACTAAGGTTATAAACAACTTGTTACAAGCAATCTTCACCATCTTCAGCCAGGAAACAACCAATAGAGTCTTCTGTAGCCGATATATACAACTTCAATGGCCGTCCCCCTTGTGGTGATGTGATTACAGGCGGATTTACCAAATATTTCTTCAACCGATCAAAAGCTTCATGTTGCATTTCTCCCCAAGTGAATTCACCGGTATTATTGGACTTCAACAATGGCAAAAACACCTTGATCTTTCCAGACAAATTTGCGATAAACCTTCTCAAGAAATTTACCAATCAAACTTTCCAATTCTTTCTTATTTCTTGGCGGTCTCACGTCTATAATAGCCTTAGCCTTCTCAGCATCAAACTCTATTCCTTTCTCCTGAACTAAGAATCCCAGAAAGTTTCCAGAAGTCACCCCAAACGCACACTTTAATGGATTCAATTTCAACTTATACTTCCTCATTCGGGCAAATGCTTGGGCCAACTGATCCAAGTATTCTTCAAAAGTATGGGATTTTATCACCACATGATCAATGTATACTTCCACCATACTTCCAATCATATCGAGAAAAATACAATTCATGGCCCATTGATATGTTGCCCCAGTATTGTTCAACCCGAATGGCATCACTCTCCACTAAAAAATCCCCAATGCCATGGGCAACGAAATGCTATTTTCGGGACATCCTTCTCAGTGATATAAATCTGATTGTATCGTGCATTCCCGTCTACAAAACTCTTAAACCGATATCCAACCAATCGGTCAATCAACATCTCCGCAATCAGCATATGATACTCATCCTAAGGAGATGCCATATTCAAATCACGGAAATCCACACAAACCATAGTCTTACCATTTTTATTAATTACCGGCACCACATTCGTCGACCAGTCCGCATAAACCCCCACTTCTATAAAACCAACCGCCAATAACCTTAGTATTTCCTCCTTGATTTTAGCAGCGACTTTGTCTAAAAACCTTCGTGGCGCCTACTATTTTGGCTTGAATTCCTCCTTTGTGGGAATCATGTGTTCAATCAAGCTATAATCCAATCCAGGCTTTTCGGTGTAATCCCAAGCAAAACAGTCCCGATATTTCATCAATACTCTTGTGAAAGCCTTCTTATGGTGATTCAAAATTTCAGCACTTATGAATGTTGGTTTCCGCTCCTTACCGATTCCCAAATTCACAGTTTCAATTGGTTCCTTTGTCACTACGGCATCATCCTCCAGTTTTCTACTTGCTTTTACCAATTCTGACAACTCAATATCATCATATTCAACCACGGGTTCATCTTCACAAACAACATCCACTATACACAAAAATAATGGTTCCTACCATTCAATTATTGAGTCAATTATCATCATCGAAAATTTCTTCTATAATTGGTCCAGCATCCTGCGGCTTAGGTGCCAAATACTGGCATGGCCTGTGGATCTCTTGCAGAAACATCTTCCATTCCCTGATCCCTATAATCTTTATAGGCGTCGTGGTCATAGGTTTACCATATTTATCAATTCCAAGCAGCCTACATGGACCAACATCTTTTTGATAATAAAACGCCTCAGCTGCATTGCTTTGTACAATGAATGGTTTAGCATTGGCCTTTATCACTTTCGGTCCATCCGCCCCCCCAATCACCAGAGCCTGATGAAAAGATGAAGGAATCCAGTCACGGCCTAACAGAGCATTGTAAGACCCTGTGGTATCCACTATGAAGAGGGCTGATTAAACTGCCTGAGAACCTAATTCCACTATAACTGGCAGTATCCCCCAAGTACTTATCACGTCTCCGGTGAAACCACTAACTGCAATCACAATTGGAACCAGATCTAATTGTTGTATTCCCAACCTCCGTAATGTAGAAGTGTGCATGATATTTACAGTCGCACCATTTTTTACTAGTATCCTATTAATAGGAACAACGTTCAACAAAGCCTGCACATACAGCGGCTTCACATGAATGGTAGACATCGACTCTGGCATAGAGATAACCACTGTTAGTGAATCCTCATCCGTTGTTACCTTAATCCCCAACACCTCTTTCGACCGCGGATTAACATTCGGCATTGGTGTTTTTCCTGACTCATTAACCTTTACTTTTAAAAGTTCTGCGATAGCTTGTCTGGCAGCATATTCCTTGCGAAGTACATATACCATGTTAACATCCATGCTATCTTGTTCCTTTACTCGCCACTGCTTGGTTACTCGATCATGCCTACCAGATGCGCTATAAGGTGATTGCTGAAACTCCCTCTTCTGCTTCAAATCCTGATATCTTCCCGCCCGTTGGTGCTGCCACCTCCGACGCTGAGTCCGAGTCATGCCATTGCTTGCTGACATCGGCGTTGGAAATCTGGGATGTTCTATTCTATGCCACAAGTTGTCAGAAACCTGACTGGGCCTTATCATCCTGGCCGTTGCACTATTTATAAGCAGCAAAAATGGTTGGGCAGATCTCCCAAAACTAACTCCTTGACTACGATCTGGCCACGACAATCTATCCTTAACTGTCCTTGAATCGGATCCATCTTTCCCAAACCCTTTGGATGTTCGTGGACCTAACCACCCAGAAACTGGTTGTTTTAACCCTTATGGGTCAACATATTAACTAACACCTTTATTTATCAGCACCAAATGCTCTGAAAGCTTCTGAAGAACTTGAGTTAATGATGTCGCCACTTTCTATTTGTAACTCTCCTGCGACTCTTGCACTTGTGGTTTCCTGACCCAAGTTTGTAGCTGCCCGTTAACTACAATGGTTACTTCTTCTTCCGTCTGCTAGGGAAGTATTTTTCATTCGTGTAAATGCCCATCAATCACACTTGCTAGGTGGCAAACTTGTTCTTTCATTGAATCAATAACTTGGTCACAATCTTGACAACCAACACTTACCTTCTGCCTAGCATAGGCAGCTACCTGCGGATCCACATTTATCATTCCTACCACATGATTCATCGGGAACGGCTTTATCATCACCGCGGCTGGCTCTTTCACTTGGATATCTTCAATGTCAATCATTTTTTGCAAAACATTTTGGAAGACCACACAATCAATGGTCTCATGGTCATGGACATATTATATTTGCTGGTTTTTGTTGTTTTTGTCCCTTTTGATAAGTCATCTGACCAGTTTTTAGCATGTCCTCAAGTATTGCCTCCTGTTGGGTGATCTCGAATGACTATGTCTGCCCGGATTGCTAGGATCAGCGCGTGACTTTGGTCCAATGGCAATTCCCGGGCCTGGCGGTATACCATATGCTTGTGGAGTGTTGGGTTTCCTTAACGCACTACATTTATATCCTTTCATGTTTACTATCTCAGCTGCATTGATATCCTCAAACTCATCTTCTTCATCCAAGCCAAAATACTACGCTGGGTTTACCAGCAGCTGATTAGGAGGATTAAACCACTGCCAACCCTAACTTTTGCGGCTCTCAGTTTCTTCCGCAATGACTTTATCCAACTGACAAATCACTTCACCCAACTCACCTAAGTTCAGGAAAGTTCTTCCTGTTAATCCAAGCTTCAATCACAAATTAGTTAATCCAGCTATGGCCATAGTAATGATGGTTTGCTCTGGGTATTCCCTGGTATCGTGGCTCTCATCTACCTAAACCTTAAAAGGTATTGCTCCTCAGTCTCGGCAGCCTTTGCCTTGACATCATGCAACTCCACAATAGTACGCTCTGGTTTGCTTACATAGAAGTTTTGCATGAATAACTCCTTTTGAACATCCCATTTAGCCACTGATCTAGGTCTCAATGTTCGATACCATTCCAGCGCCATACCAGTTAATGATTGTGGGAATAATCGTAATTTATAGAATTCATTATTTGCTAACTGTCTGTATTCTAACTCGCATGTCCAAATAAGGTTCTCTTGTCTGGTGCCATCGTCTCCCGAAAATTTGGTGACCGTAGGCATCTTAAAATTGCGGGGAAAAGGCTCTAAATCGACCAAGCCTGGGTAAGGCTTTCCTGGTACTTCCGGGATCTTGAACCCTTGTCTCGCTGCAACACTTCTGATATTAATCGACGCAATTCAATCTGATCAGCCGTCAGCTCCAGATTAGCATTAGTTGGCAGTGTTTGCTCTGTGCCACCCATGGATAGATCTCAGTACTTCAAGAGATTTCATAGAATTATAATCCCATCCAAATTTCAATTGTAATATTCTGTTAATGGAATGATTTGTTTACTCCTAAAATGGTTATCAAATTTTGTTTATAGTTAAATCCAAACTTTTTACCATTTATTTTAACTATTTTAATTACTCGCGTACATTGAAATTTCTTATTATCTCTTCCAACATTACCTCTAGTTATTATATTAGATAAAAAGTCTGACTAAAAGCTAATAATTAATTAGTTTAGAACATAATGGTAACTTATTTCTTTGGTACTTTCTTTTAGTTCAAAAATCATAAATTTTGCTACGTAGAATTCAGCCGTACATGACATAGTACAATACCTTAGCCTTTCGCTCTCTGGAATTTGCCTAATTAGTATAGTATATAGATATCATCATAATTTTGAACATTACATTTTTACTCAACTTTGACCATATTTGTTTATAATATAAAAGTATAAAAAAATAAAATAGCTATCATTAAAAACGCGGTAACATTAGTTCAGCTTATAGGAGAGTTAATCTCATCTTCAATCCTTTCAGGGACAATCAGCAACAAACTTTAAAAAAAAAAATGGAATTTTGATGGTAGGACTCCACGGAAGGAATCCCTTTCTTCAAAAAAAAAAAAAAAAACTGGAGGGAATCCCCTACTCCAAGCCAACAAGAGCTTATAAATGCTTATAATTGTCCGAACTACGACAATCCGTAAAGTTCACCAAATAATGAACCTATTAAAAAAAAATTGAAGTTTTCTTTCATACAAAATTAGAATTCTCGGGAAACCCAAAAGTTGGCATAGCAAAAGATGCCTCCCCATCCCATAATTAGATATGCCAATCTTTAAACCCATTCCCATTGTACTTCCCAGAAATTCCCTCTGTATAAATTGGTCGGGAATTCTAAAACCTTTCATGAAAATCTGTCTTCTAATGGTTAGTGACAAAATTTGAGGCATTTAGGTTTAGGCGCATAACTATTATCACTATTATCCTTTACTTTTACACACACAAGAACGTGTGTTGTCCTTTTTTCTCCCCACTGGGGAAAAAAAACAGTAATCCTTTTAAGAAACCAAAACATTAAAGAAAAAAAAAATCCCATATTCAGAGATCCCACCATAATACATTCACTATAAATAGTTGTTTTATTTTGTTTATATCCAAGCTGGTTTTCTTTTTCTTCTCATAATTTTCACCGTGTGTAGTTGTCATCATAATAAAAACATTACATTTTTAGCATATAGATATCATCATAATTTTAAACATTAGTTCAGGCTATAGCATAATTAAGGAAAACAGATTTGATTTCCCGTACTTTACATTCATGCTCTTAGGAATTTGATCTTTGTACTTGTCCCCTTCTCAAATTCTTATTCTTCACGTAAGACTAATTGAATCATTTGATATTTCTTTTAATTGGTAGTAAAACATAGTTTTAATCAACTATGCCAAAATTCAAAACTAACCATGAGTGACCACAAAAGGAAAAATAAAATGCCACAACAATTTCCTCGGTTAGTTTCAAAGTAGGACTGAGGATACGAATTAGCAAAAACTCCAGAAAAAAAAAAACCATATTCTAATGATTAGATCCCCTCCAAATTTCAAGAAGATGATTGACTTCTTGTGTCAAGTCTGTGATCATCCAACACTCGAACAATTAGTATCTCCACCTTGTGTAGAATTGGAGTAGCCTGGAAGTGAACTCGCAGATTCTTTGCGAACGATTTTAACTGCAAGGTGTCCTCGGTAATCAAGGATCACGTAATAAGTATACATTAGTCATTCTCTGAATCTAATAAATTATAGATTCTACTTCAACCCTTCGCAAATTTGCATTATTCAAGTTTCAAAATCTATAAGGCATTTCACCTTTTTTTTTCATCACATTCTTTTCTCCATTTTTTTTCTCCATAAGCTTCATTTTTTTGGCAAATCTGCGCAAGGCACAACCCAGCATTGGTGACATCCCTATGTAAGAGTAAACTAAGAGGGGGAAGGGGGAAAGGAAACACGGCAACATCAATATGTGCATATAATTAATAGTTGTGCGTTAAAGAATAGTTTCACCATCTCTTTTTAGTGCCAATTTTCCCTGCGGTGGAGGAGCTAACATTTGTAATTGACACAAAAACTAATTAAAGAACAAATAAAAAAAATTAAACATGTAATTGCATATTGCGCACCTCATTCCGGTCTGCAGCATATCCTCTCTATCCTCGTCGATTAAAAACTTTAGGTATAAACTTTTGAGAACAACTGCAAAAGAATTCAGAACTACCTAAGAAAACACCTTTTATCAGAATAAAAGACAATGCAGAAAATATCAAAATTTGATATCAGCTTCAACACAACAGCAAGGTTTTGAACTTTTGATATTTAGAAACTATTCGGGTACTAGAGTTATTAGCAAAAATTGAATTGTTAGCAACTTATAAGTAGTATTTTAAATGGAATATACTGATGAACAACATTGAATTTTACCTTTCATTAAAAAGAAGAGCTTCAAGACAACTGACATCATTAAAATCCTCCATAACTTTGTTTCCTGGCTATCAGTACACGCAGTCTCGCACTATTGCACTCGGTAATTTCGTTTCCTGGCTATCAGTACACGCAGTCTCACACAATTGTACTCAATCCTTCTTGAAGGCCCGAATATAGGCCCACATGTGGTTCTATCTTAAAACCAATTGGTGATAAGGAGCGTAGCACATGTGGTTATATATTAGTTTCTAGACTCTCCATCCATTCATGTGGGACAAAGAAACTTGGGCATATCTCAATACAATATTCTCAACAGTCCTCAAATAGATGAGATCTTGAAGTGGATCAAATTGGAGCCTTTCGAATATGCTTTCAAGTCTGCTTTTGGGACCGACATTGATAGATTAAAACCTTGCGTCCTATAATATCAATGGATTTTGAATAAACTAAAAAAGAAGATCACATACAATCTACAGCATGTGAGTGGTTGAGAATATAGAATTATGTGATCAATTGTTGTACTAATTGTTAAAAAACAATTAAGCTACACGAGTACGAGTGCTTTAGAGAGATTGAGCAACAAAACAATCACAGCATCCAACTAAACCGAAAAGTATCTTATATTTCTTTTTCAAGACTCTCACGGAATGAAGATACATGAAATTCATAATATAAGCAGAATACCTGAAAGGTTATAAAAAATAATAAAAAAAAAGTGGAATGATGGAACGTTGACGGCGATACAACCAATGCACGACGACACCAGGTTCAGCCTGCCAAGTAGCCAAACCTACGGACAGCATTTTGACTCCGGTATTGAGTTGGAAAAATCAAATGTCTTTCCCCATCACCAAAATCATTGGAAACCCAACTGGTGCGGCAAGAATGAAAAAATCGAAAATTGGAGTTCTTTTCCTAGACGGAATTCAGCAAGCAAAGTGATAGAGCATAACTGCCGCCAGTATAATAAACTATGAGCAAAGGAGTGTCAGGGTTTGACAGGTTTATCAAATTGTTATTTGTTCAACATTTAAAGTACGGTTTGAATATATGATGAGAATCATGTAGCCTACCATGGTGATTCTCCTAGCGAGGGGAATGAGCTAGTCCTTCATTCTAGTTTTGGAATGCCAAGTTTACTTAGCAAACCAATCAAGGAAGAAAGGATGGATCTTTAATACCTATGTGATAGGGAGTTGGTTCAAGAGAACTATGATCAAGATGATGAAAATGTCATTAAGTTTGGGGTTCAAACCAAAGGAGATGATGACCTCAAGGAAATAAGTGCTCAAGAGTATCAAGGGAGTATGACTCCATGTGCTCCATGAAGATTATTGATCAAGCTAGAGAGAAGAGTCATTCAGGTTCTTGAATGGACGGCCTATATGATCAAAGTGTTCAAGATTGAGTCCATTGCTACACAATTGGATAGGTTGCAAACTATCTCAATTGTTTCAAGTGTTTTTCCAATCTTTTGGAGTCAATAAAGAGAATTCTACAAGTTTTTGAGTAAATTGCAGTTTTCTACAACTTAAGGGGGGCAAGACCAATATTCCACTTTTAGAAGGGCGTTCAAGACATTTTACTTCAATAATTTGGAGCTGAATTTCGGATTTAGAGGTTGTCTAAGTCTAGGAGTTATTTTCGAGTTTTATCTAGTTAGATAAGCCATGTGGGCTGAATAAAACTAGAGTGTTTTGATTAGGACTCTTAGATTCCTTCTAGATATTATCTTATTTGAGGATACGGCATTTATATAAGGTTTCCTAGATTTTAGATAGAGTCAAAGAAATCAAATACTCTTCTACTTCTACTCCTTGTGAGATAAGATTAGAGAGTCCTAATTGATCTTCTTTTCTTGGTGTTGGCCGAAAATCTTAGCCTATAAATAGGGGGGATGGCTGAAATTCAAAAGCACCCTTGAGTGGTCGTTTTTGTTGTCTCTTTTGAGAGTTTTTCCTGTGAGGAATTTTTGTTAAATGGAGTGACTATTTTTCGTGTCAAGTATAATTTAACCAAGAGGGTTTTCATCTTGTCTTGAATCTTTTGATCTTGCAGAAACCGTTCTTTTTCAAGTATGCTTCTTGATAGAATTGTT